AAAAGGAAAGCAAGATCTGAGCCAGAAAGGCGGGAACATATACATATCAAACGTTTATCCAACACCCTCCCCCCAATTCCCCAACCCAGTGTCCAATGTGCAACTCCCTAAGGTGTCATGTGGGGTGCATCTTCAAACAGCCTCATCAAGGTGGTATGTGAGACAGTTGGTCTTGACCAAGTCCAAACATCAGCCACCAGCATGCGCAGAAAATGGTGAGAACAAGACTCCTCCAGTACAATATTATTCCCTTCCCCAATACCATGCGCCCCATTCCTATGACAGCCGATAGTAAGCAAGCGTAGCAAAGCAGCCGTAAGCAAGTAACCAAAACAGAGGCTGACAATCTTGCTTTTAGACATGATAATAGCCGTCTGCTGTGCCTGTCTGCAGCTCCTCTGGGGGAAGGGAAAGAAGATGGAGAAGCCAGGACAAGGAGGAGACCGCAGGAGACAGAAAGACTAGGAGGAGGGAGGGAGGGCTGAAGGGTGCCTGTGGGGTTTGTTTGTGAATATTAACGAGAGTTCCCCCAAGCAGAGACAGACAGCCCAGAGGCGCTGAAACGACCGTCCCTCTTCCCCCCTTCCCCCTGGCAAATGAAGTGTTCCCTTGCTATAACTTTCAGGAATGCCCTCCCTGCTCAGTCCTCTAGAGAGCAGGAACCTCCCATCTGCACTACTAAAGCTTGAGGCAAAGGGCTTCCCTCACCTTTGCTGGGCAAGGCTTGAGTCTGCCCACAGACTCCCTCCAGTTCCAAAGCTACAGGTGAGAAAACAAACCCTGTGCAAATTGTCAGAGTGCCTAATTTTTCCAACTTTTGGGGAGACTTTTGGGCACTGTTTTATCCTTTTTTAAAAATATTTTTTTAATTTTTAATTTAAAACAAATACAACATCCTTCTTTACATGCTGTAGAAAGTGTATCAGTCGCTTACAAAAAGACTTTCGTGCATCTCTTCCACAGTCAACAAACATAATTCATATTAACTCAAGTATTTTAACTCAAGTATTTATACATATTACCGTCATCGTATCTCCATTTTCATTTGATTTTAATTGCTTAATTCCTTCATCATAAAATATACCAAGATTTAATACATAACCACATACTGGCCTTTCATTTACTATTTTTAAAATCCACTAAGACTAAATCCTTATGTCATATTCTAGCTAAACATCCATAATATTTAATAACAAAATGTTCTAATCTTCCTTTCCAAATTACTGTTTAGAATTTACATTCAGTTTCCTTATGTTATACCCATATGGATATAAACGTTGTTATTCTTGTCCCTCCATTATTTAACTATATCCTGTATCATAACATTTTCCCCCTAATAATCAAAACTTTAACTGTATCTAACTTGGTTCTTTTTTTTNAAGATATCAGAAGGAATTCTTGTAAAAACAAAAACTGAAGCTAAGAATTGATATAAACAATTAAAAATTCACATGTACGGGGTCTGCTCGTCTTGGATTCAATAAATCAAGTTTTGTTCTGAGGATTTGTGTGTTGCTTTGTGCTGCTAATGCAGCAGGAATTCCTGGCACGGAGACAATTCTGCCGTCGGCTGGCCTCCCCCCCCCCTCCCAGACACAATCTGCAAGAATTGGTTGGCACGATGCCCAGCAGAAAACTCACCTTATCTTCTGGCCTGAAGAAAAAGGTAAACAGATGGCTGATGGATTGGTCATCTGACAGATAAACATAATCAGGATTCTGGAGCTGTAACGACCAGCTCCCGTCAGCAAGCAATCTCAAACCGGAAGCCAAGAGTCACTTTAATTTCTTGAAAGCGGCTTCACACTCCATAGTCCAGTT